AAGAACATATCTGTCTTTGCATGAACAATTCCTATTTTCTCCTTATTTTCCTCCTATAGGTAAAGGAACACAGAATTACAGAATCACAGAATCACAGAACGTTAGGGATTGGAAGGGACCTCAAAAGATTATCTGGTCCAATCCCCCTGCCGGAGCAGGAACACCTAGATGAGGTTACACAGGAAGGCATCCAGGCGGGTTTTGAATGTCTCCGGAGAAGGAGACTCCACAACCTCTCTGGGCAGCCTGTTCCAGTGCTCTGTCACCCTCACTGAGAAGAAGTTTCTTCTCAAATTTAAGTGGAACCTCCTGTGTTCCAGCTTGTGTCCGTTACCCCTTGTCCTATCATTGTTTGTCACCGAGAAGAGCCTGGCTCCATCCTCATGACACTCACCCTTTATTTAAATTATTATTTAAATATTTATAAACATTAATGAGGTCTTCCCTCAGTCTTCTCTTCTGCAAAATAAAGAGACCCAGTTCCCTCAGCCGCTCCTCATAAGGGAGATGCTCCACTCCCTTAATCATCTTTGTAGCCCTGCGCTGGACTCTCTCCAGCAGTTCCCTGTCCTTACTACTTAAGGAAGACTAGGAAAATTACCAGAATTGTAAATTTTCTATTTTATGTCACTCGGTATTTCTCCTGAAATGTTCTCCAAACTGTGAAAGGAAAATTTCTGACTATCCTTGCAGTGGATTGTGGAAGAATGAACAGATCATGTCTTCACAGTGCAAAGAGAAATTATCTGGAGAGCTCTTCTCTAGAATTTGCCCCAGAGTAAATAAAAGCAAATGTCATCTCAGCCACTTCACTGAAAATTAAGACTATCTCTACAGATGAAGTAACATTAAACCATTGCAGATCTGGTGTGAGCAAAATACTAATCAAAGCTATTGTCACCTGCATAATGAGATTCACTATTTAGGGCAAACCCTATTTATAAATACATGCATTTTCCTACCTTATAAAAGTCTTGCACTTGTGCATTATCCAGAGGGTTTTCAGACCTTTTAGCTGGTTGGCAGTGCTTTTATCTAAATTTGGACATTTTTTTGTACCTAGAAAGAGTACATACATAGGCAAGCTGTGATACAATAGTTTTATTGGCATGACTCTTACTCATCAAGTGACTAAGCCATGAGAAAATGGTTTGCCATTGCAAATAAGTGTGCAGTGTGCCTCTCTTCTTTTTGTATCTTTTTTAATTTGAGACACTCTCATGCTGAAGAAAAAGAGGAATTGCAGTAATACGATTCAAAGCAGAATTTGTCCCAGGAGTCATGGAGGTCATGGGTCATGGATGTTATGCAAGAGTGCAATAGATAGCAAGGTTTGAAAAGTCAGTAGCTATAAAGAAGTTGTCCAGAACTCTTACAACTGCTTCCCAAATTCTACTTTTCAAATTAATACATAAATATTTAGTTAGCTTTGTGAGAAGATACCCCTTTCAAATTATTTTTTTTCTGGCCTACTTCTCTGCAATGCATTTCTTTGTATTCCTCACGAGCACTACATTTGCTGTGTTTGATATCATATTGCTATTAGTTTCCTAAGAAAAAATAATTTCTATCATTCTGGATGCACATCTGGCTTTCTGCCATGGTCATACTTTTCCCAAAATACAGAAGAACTGCTAGTTCTTACCAGATATTATTTAAAGTTAGTAAACATGATGGTGTAAAGCCACAAACTTAATGTATTCCTACACCCCCTGTAGGAACACTTGGATATTACTATCTTAATTCTGCAGGTGCAAGAAGATGAAGTAAGTAGGAAATAATATAGTGGGTTGGAATTTTTTCTTTATCCTAGTTCTGTGCAAAGTACGATAGTCACACAGTCTGTCTCAGAAAAGAGAAAATGGGAACAGATGTTAAATACCCTTCAAGGAATGTTGAAGTTAGTTCTAACTGGCTCTGCTTCCCTGAGCTTGGATACAGGCATGGACAGACAGGATTTGTTGTTTTATTAATAAGAGTCTAGGAACATCTTCAGTGAAGTCTATTATATTGTTATTTCCCATGGAAAAGAGAAGGGTAGAAGTGTGAGGCAAATGTAAAAAGCTGCACCTTATACATTATTTAGACATCCCAAAGAAGTCGAAGCATTCTGGCCGGCACAATGTGCTGCCAAACTGGACTGACAAGACTGAGGAAGACTTGCCTTGGGATCAAGGCAGTTTCCCTTGGGAAAAGGTTCACTGAATTTACCCTGGAAGGGATTTATTTAGTGGTAAAAAAGCACTGCTGTGCTGTACTGACAAAAGCACTCTTAACACGGAGGTAGCTGTACCTACAAACTGTGCTTTTTCTTAGTCTGTTAAAATTAACTTCTCTTTATGTGCCCTTGGTTGAAATAACCTCTGTCAGCATAATTGTTTGACTAACAGCTGTTTCCATTCCCTTAAAATATTATGTGATAAAAATAAAATTGATAGTAGCTATCATATTAGCTCTCAACTCAGGGACATATAATAAATACAGTCCATTAATTCCTTGCGCGGATGAGGGCAGATGTACCTAGTAGATTTTTTAATTATTTTAGGAATACTTTCTCCTCATGGCTATTATGACATGTTGGTGCAACTTGCTATGCAGCATATTCCAGTGTCTACTAACTGTTGTTTACTAATACATAACTCATATTACTCACCATAATCTACCCACAGGGCATTTTCTTTTATCTGTTCTGATGTCTAAAGAATTTTGAAAAGTATTCACACACTCTTACCATTCTTTATTAATATTAAAATCTTAAGATTAGGCTTAGAGAAGGGGAGGAATATTTGGCTTACAGTTTTACTGCGTCTGCCCTAAAAGGTATTATTAATTTTCTGTTGCTTTCATTGTCTTTTTGCATTCCAGCCATTACAATCATTAGACCTGCAAATGAGTAAAATTCCAGTCCCAACATGTAACTGGTATTCAGTTCACCTAAGACTCTTAAGCAAGAAAAAGGGGTGTAGAATAGAAATGGTAACAATAGATTTTTCCTTATAAAATGGTAGCAATAGATCAAATGAAAATAAACTCTCTGCATGTTCCCTGAGCACAGGATAAGAAATAATGGGCCTGAACTGTAGGAAAGGAGAGTTAGGAGAATATTCATAGAAATTCCCATAGGATAGGAGGAAGGCTCCTCCCTTTCCTGTCAGGGAAGCTTATGCAAAGAAATGTCTGTTGGGGACAGGAGAGGAAAGGCAGAGTAAGTCCAGCTGTGGACAGAAGATGGTGACCAGTAATACTTGTGACCATACAGTCACAGTTACTGACTCCAGCTTGTCTTAAGAACTGTTACTTTAGGAACAAAACCCTCTATACATCTACAGCAACATGGATAATATAATGTGAAGTTCACTCTACATTTCTTATAAAGCTGCTTCTTTTCATGGATGTAGCTAACCCGGCTCTGGTTTCCTTGCAAAGTCTGACTTTGCTCCTTATATGTCAGAATACTGAATCAAAAATATTATTTTAAGCTACACATCTATTAAGAGTGCAACTCCTTATTCTTTAAACCTGCAAAAAATAAGCTGCTTTCAAAGTGTTCACTGAGATTGTGTCAAAGAGAATGGTGGTTCTCTATCCTCTTTTATGTGTTACATCTTTGCTCTCCTGCATTTGTCACTTGTTTGATCTCTTTCAACCAAAACTCTTTCCTTATTCCCTCTAACATTTCTTTCGAAGTCTGGATCGTTTTCATACTTGTTCCTTTTGTGTTTGGGTCTGTTTTGTTTGGAGCAGGAGCTCCCCCTGCTGCTCTATTTTGCAGTATGCGACATTGTACAGGCAAAAGAAACTAGCTAGGTTTCCAGTTATCTAACAAAGCAAATTCTAGGGGAATAAAGAAAATTATTATTAAAAATTATAGAAAATAATGTTTTATTTGCAATTTCTGCTATTCCTGAATTTAACGGAAGCTTCTATTAATTTTTCTGTAATAAAACAGAATAAATTTTCTAGAAGCCTTTATTAAAGATCTAATCTACTAGCAGTAACAAACCCTGAGAGAAATTCAGAAAATCTGAAAATTTGCAGTGAGCAAAACATGTAATCGGTTCTTGCCCATCTGTTTCTTCTGCAAAACTCCCACGCACTGCACTGTTCCTACAAGGTCACATACCTGTCTTTGGAAAAGACATGCTGCAAAGTGACTTAACCAGCCTGGGGTTTTCCACAGACCTTATATCCACCAGTACAGACTTGTAGCTGCTTTCATACACTTGTAGCGCAGTGTTACTTAGTCATAATTGTCTGTGAATTAGCCTAGTGATTTCAGTGAAATAAGGTCTGCCTACGAGCATATCCGTTTCTATGCAGTTTTGTGTTTTGCTGGGACTTGAATTCGTACAGATTTTCTCGTAGAAGTGGTTATGGCGTTTTTGCTTCTTCACATTCACATTCACATTCACATCAACTTAAGGCACAGAAGGTCATTGCTAAAGCTAAAACCTGTGCCGTAAACCTCCTCTGCTGTCTGCTCAGCATTCGCCTCCCACTTTGGCAAAGCAGAGACAAGAAAGGAGTTGTTCCTGGTAAACGCTGTACCGACAGCATGGACCTCTGTAGTTAGTATTCCTCCTGACTTCCTCAGTTTCATTTACTGTCGGAGAAGATGTGGCGCCTGTGGTAAGCCTTGAACATCCTCCTCTGCCATCAGTTGGAAAGGAGTGAAAAAGCAAAGCTGCAAAACAGCAGAATGTAAAAATAGCTGCAGTGTTATTGCATATAAAAGCTCGTAAAATCTTGGGGGGGGGCGTTCAACTTCATTTGCCGTCTGACCGAAGGCTGCACAGAGCGGCACTTTGCCCCCCAGTCCCACTGGGTAATTCCCGCGGCGTCGGGGCAGGCGTTGGGACTCGAACCAGCAATCCGGAGCGAAAGAGGGCGCGGTCTTTGACCTGCGCATGCGCATCACCGCCGGATGGGTGGGGAACGCGCGTGCTCGCGGGCCGCCTGTGCGATCACGTGCCTGCTGGCGGGGCGGGAAGACTCGGGAAATGCTGCGGCTGCTGGAGAAGGTCCCGCTGGGACCTGCCCTGGGGGTGGGCTTCTCGCATCCCCGGCCGGGCGGCAGCGCGGCCTCAGCGCCTCTGAGGCAGATGGAGCGGCGGCCGTTGTGCCGAGGGCAGCTTCTTTCCCTTAACTTTGGCCTTCCAGGCCGCCGTGAAGCGGACTTGAGAGGGTAGGGGCGCTGCGGGAGCAGGCGCCTGCCCGCTGGTCTCAGTCGCGGTCGGGCGGTTTCCGGTAACGGCCCTCGAGGCTGGGGAGGGCGGTGTTTGCCGAAGGTAGGCCGAGGTGCCGCTCTATGGCACCTGCGAGGGAGACAGAGCCCGCCGTACGCTGCCCCGCTGGGCCACAGAGCGGTGCGGCACCCCTCTCTGGCCTCTTGGGGCTGGCCGCCGCACAGCCTTCCCTCGCCAGCCTTTCGGGGCCTCTCCAAAATGAAAACGCGGGCTTAAAATGCGCTGTGCGTGCACCCAGCGGGTGTGTCTGCGCTCGCTTTGCTGTTAGGTTACTCGAGATGGCTCTTCCCAGCGCAGGTCTCCTTCCTCTGTAAACCGGTGCTGAGGGGCCTGGCCTGCGTGCCGGAATTCACGGCTGGTCCCTGAGAGGCTCCCGCAAATTTCCGTCCG